GTCTTCACCAAATACAGCCAACCTTTGAAAATATCCCTCCATAGGCTGGTCTAAGAGGACGGCATGAGAAGAAAGAAGAACTCCTATTTCATGTGGATGAAGCTGAATGAAGCAAGGACACTTAAAGGGAATTAAGAACCAACAATTGCACACACAAGTGTGAATTGAGAGAGGTATATAACCAGCTTTGAAAGACACATCTCGCATCGTTTCACTTATTGTGAATACGCCCGAGTGAGTAATTTCTTAGTTTCGTATTGGAGTAGAGTTACGAGACTATCAGTAAATCAGTAGTATGAGAGGCATTCATCCAATTTCGTTTAAGGTGACAAAGTACTGGTAGAAGAAGAATTTTCCCACAATAAGATGAGTAGAGCTGACGTTTGCATTCAATTTCACATGGCCTTGCAGTTTCGACCTCGCATCGGTCTGATCAACACCTCCAGCGGGAGTCGAACCGTGAACCGTGCCCTTGGGTCACAGGGCAGATGTGAATTTCAAGGAAGGTCAGGCCTTTTGCCAATGAAGCAAACATACATTTGCTATAACAATCGACTGCGTTACTTATTTTCGTATTGGAGTAGAGTTTCGAGACGGAATTACGGATATTTATAAGGTCTACTCATATGGACTATAAGGTGGTGACCCTTGATTTGAACAAGCTTTTGGAATGTAATCGCAAAGATGAAGATCAAAATATTGTTGCCTCTATTTTGGTCGCAGTGGTCAACTGTACCAGCAATTCCGAATAATCGAGATGTAGAAGGGGCACGGTAAACAAACAGGTTTAATGATGCCCAACTAAACTGGCTGAAGAGGACACACCTTTTGAGGAGTCGAATATTTTTAAAAAAATCAAAAGTTGTGATAATTAGGAAGTGAGATACAAGCACAGGGAATAGGAAGATATACCAGGACAGAAGGAGGAGTGTTAACACAACAGTTTGGCAGAAAGTTGGCCAAGAGACGGACCAACGAGTTGTTGATTGGTGCTGAGAATGACCAGACTCGTTGACGATGCCTACGAAATACCTGGAAATATACCAAGCATACGATCCGGCGCTGGGTAGTATCATTACCGTCGTGACAGAGGAACTTTGGCAAAGTGCCCTGACAACAAGAAAAGGTTGTGAAAACTAGTTCAACTATTTATGAGAGACCTGATTAAGGAGACATCTGATGATTGAATCGGTTAGTTCAGGCTTTCCCGACATGCCTCAAGATGAGTGAGGATGGTTCTGAAGACGTCTGTCAAGGCGGGATACACGAAAAGTTGAGGTCGCCAGCTGATGTTCACGTCACCAGTGACCAATTGGCGATTCTCGTCGACTCATTAAGTCAAAAATGCGAATCTACGCAAAGATTGGATTCAGTTAAGAGTCCGAGGGACTCTAGGTTGCATGTTGTTGAAGGATCTCTCATCCAGGATGGAATGGATCAATGTCCTGTATCACCTTCTGCCGGTGTGGATGACATGTAAAATGGAAGCGATTGTGTGCTTCATTACTAAACCGTCAATTAGACTGTCTATAAAGCAGTGGCAGATCCCATTCCATTTTCTGCCATCCGCTTTTCATTCAAACAAGGTGAAATGAAAAATGCCATCAACGAAATGTGCCGGTGCTTGATTTATTCCTCTAGTCTTAGTCATTCATATCCGGCAAACCGTTTGGTTGTGGATCCTCTTGCCAGATTTCCGAAGTAACTAGGATTAGAGAGTGTCAGTAACTGTTGGATAAAGAGCCGATTTGAAGAGTGATAGTTGCGTCTTCCCATGCAATCAGGTGACTAAACCTCACAATATCAGTACATTTCGTTTAGCCTTGACTCTTAAAAGGCTATCCCATTTGCCTTCTCCTCATCCTCCTCCTCCTCCT